CAAATATGTTAGAATGAATAATAATAAAAATGCCTTTTGTTAAATTCATTCTTTGAAGCATCTGCTCTTTTTTCTTGGAAAGTGCAACTGCATCTTTGATTGTTTGGCAGTATGCGAAACTCATACAACAGTATCAGAAGAGTCAAAATCAGTTCAACTGAGTTAAAACTTTGAATTTTTTTAGCTTCTAAAATGAAAACTGCCACGTCCCAAGCGTCTTCTGAAATGAGATTCAGCCCAAAATAATTGTATTCCAGACACTTGATATTCTTAGTCAACGAAAATCAGTAAATCAAAAGCTATAAGTATCATATCGTGACTTATGATTGGTAGTCCTGAGTTCTTATTTATGACAGGTTTTGGTTAATAGCCTCGAAAATGAAGAATGAAATTTTTTATTTTTTCACAGAAAATTTGATAGATTTTTTCGAATTATGAGTTGTGAGCTTTGAAAAAACCAGCGAAAAAACCAACTTTTTCTACGATCCTTTGCACTTCCTGAAGATAAACAGAAACTGGAGTGTTTTGTGTGAAAGAAAGACATCGGTCTGCTTCTTAACTCTAGATAAAAGAAAACTTCGACAGTTCCACTCAAGCAGGCAGTTGTTGAAGACAAAATTCCACAGTTCGAGTCTGATCAGCACCGCTCAGAAAATGGAATCAAAAAAAACTTAAATCCAGTAAAAATTAAAATTCCTTTTTAAATGAAAATTTTTGATCTTTCATTGCAGTATTCAGAATAGTTTTGTGGAAAATTTACAGCGAAAAACCAAAGTTTCAGCAGCCTCTAAAATCATAACTCTGTAGTAGCTCTGTTTAATAATGGAATTAAATTGCATCGTCGTTGAACTTTAAGATTTAAATTTCATCTTTCGTGCGCTTCAGATCTGAATACCTCTCTTTACAAAAATAGAAAGCGGAAGGTTTTTCATCGATACCTTGAAAGAGGAATAATACATTTTTTTTTTCTTTCCACATATACATCGCATTTCAAATGTTTCTTTTGCACCTGCTTTTATTTTCGTTTTCCCCGACCTCGTCCGCTCGATTCAAAAAGATGCCGCTCGCTTCCTCCCCCCACTACTCGCATCTCATCTAGGTAAGCGGAAAACCGTTTCTTTTTCGGCATATTTTGATTCTGTTATTACGCGGAAGGCAGTACTATTTTGGTATTTTGCTGACAATCCATATTAGCAATATGCAAGAGTAATCTGATAAGATTACTAACACAGAACTTCCTACTTCAACTGTACGAGTTAGCCTGTTATTTGCGTGATATGTACATGTAGAAACATGCTAAAGTTGTATATAAACTAGAAGCATAACTGATTTTTGACTTCGCAAACAAGATCCAGTTGCATTTTCATTTTTAGCATTACCACGCCTTGTTAATTCTCGTTGGAGCTAAATTTCTCACTTTCCATTCCTATTGATCAACAAAAATTTGGCGCTGAAATTAAACCCTTTGTTATAGCTCTTTTTCTAACTGAATTTAAGTTGTCTCCTTGCTAAAATTAAATTCTTGTCATTAAATCTTTATTATTCGTAAATGACTTTTATCATTATCCTGTTGCAAAAAATCAAATATTACTCGCGCTGCACGGTCTGAAAAACCGGTTAACTACGCTTAATTCAACCATCTTTCACGTGATTAAACAAATTATAGGGATTTCCTCAAGTTTCTTAGAAAAAGTGATGACTATTTCAAGTCTGCAACTGATCCTGAATCTATTTGAGAGTATGATTCATCTTACTGCTTATTGACTCCATTAGCTCCATTATTCAGCATTTGAAAGATATGAATGATAGATAACTGTCAAAAATTTGACTTCCAGGGCATGCTTCGAACGGAGCCAATGCTTTTTGGCGTTTCGAAAGATATCAGACGTGAAATACGAGCGACTTTAAATCGAAATTTTGCAAGTGTGATACTAAAACTGCATTCCGTAAGTGAAGCAAAAATGGAAGACGGCGATCACGGAAAAGAGAAACGCGGATTTTGGAGGAAACGAATCAAATTTCGTGGCATATGTCAGTTATGCATTATGTATGCATGATGCATTTCCTGTAAAAGGGCATGTACCTTACAGACTGAGCCTATTCCGGATTTTTCAAGAATTTATTGAAAATCCTATGAACTTTCAAACAT